AAAAAAAAACGTCGCTGCCCCCCCCCCCCCCCCCCTCCATTGCTATGGAGCTGGCCGTAGATAGTTTGGTTTCACATGTAACACTGAGCTTGCCTCTTGTTTTGTTTTCATCAACCTTGTCACAACAGAAATTTGCTTAACCAGGAGAGGAGCCAAAAATGGTTCCGTTTGTTGCTTTTATTCCTGCTTCTTTAGATCACATTTGTGTGTTTTTGATCCCAGAGCGATAAGCTACAAGAGCAACAGGACCTGATTGCAGAGTTGCAGGGTCTGTTAGCCAGTCCCGACGTACGCGGCTTGGGCCTCAATTTGTGCTCGCGGCCTCACACTGCCCCGATTAGCTCCATGCAGCAAAGCCAAAACGGAGCTTCACAGGTAACCAACCACGGCACTGAGTTTTCTGCTATTCACCAAAAAAATGAACTTTTAAAAACCACTTTGCTTAAGTATCTTGGTTTTGTATTACAAATGTCCAGATGTACCTGGCTTAAAATACGTACGCGTATCCACCTAATGTTGTCAGAAAGGGATAAACATTAGCTCATTACTTAACTGTAATAGGCAATTGAAATTATGTAAACGCAGATCTCTGTGTATCCGTGTGATGCTGTACATTTCTGGAAACTGCACTAATGCTCAGAAAGTCAAGTGGCAATTGAAACGAAACACATCATTGTATCTTCTTCTGCGTAAAAAAAAATATATATATATATACCAGTAAGCATTTTTTTTTAACTGTTATTTTTGGGATCTCATTACATTGATGGTGTACCTAACAAGGTGTCCAGTACATAATTATCTAAGGTTGCGTCTATTGGTTTACAGGGTGATGATCAGGATGTTTCTCTCCATGAGGAGCATAAGACCTCAAGTGGAGCAGAAATCCATGGGATCGATGAAGACGGCGTGCAGTGTAACCATCCTAGAATGAGACAAAGGTTTGTCCAGAAAATGGCAGTTTCCAACTCGCATGATCAAGATACAATGACAAACAGCTCAACGCACTGTTCATGTCACCACTTGTTTCCCTCTCCGTGATGTCACTATTGATGTCATATTTAATGACAGGCAGGTGAACCAAACCTGGACCAAGAAGGACATGCTCTTGGGTGGACGAGTACTCAGTAGGAGAGCACCAGCATCTCATCTACCCGAGTCCGACCTACGTCTCAACCTAGCCAGAAAAGCATGTGAGTTTAATCTGCTCTTGATCTGCGTTGCGACAACACGTTTCAAATTGCGACAAATTGTTTCAAAGAATGACTTGTAACCTGAGACTCAGCTGAACCAAAGCAAGTCATACGTACAGAAACCGAAACACAGGTCATGCAGCACCTGTGTACGAGTGCATCTTCTATGTCTTGTTCGGTCACATTAACATAAAGATCACATTTGAAAAAAAACATGAATTACATTCAATATCATTTCCCATCATTTTATATCTTTCAATATCCTTTCTATATTTTTCAGTATCATTCCACATCTTTCAAATCATTCCATCTTGCGATGTTTTTTCATTCAGCATTTCAGCCTTCACACGCCATTTCTCCAGAAATTGCAAATGTCTACTTACTCATCGTATTCTCCATTACTTCTCAGCCAACTCCAGTGTGGCTGAGACATCTGTACGCGATGCCATGAGGGGCTTTGAAAGTGTTTCAGAATCGGGCCTTCTTCAGGCCCAACAGAAGATAAGGGAACTGTCAATCACTATCCGCATGAAAGAAGAGCTCATCAAGGAGTTGGTCAAAACAGGTATACGTTCAACACAATGTTCTTTAAAAAAAAGTAAACATGCTACCTAGTTTTGCATGCCATCTTTTACACTTCCACATACTGTATGTGATTTAACCAGGCAAGGATGCACAGTCCCTGAACAGGCAGTACAGTCACAAGATCACAGCTCTGGAAAGCGAAGCTGTCCAGGCACGTCAGGAGCTGCACGAGGCCCAAAGGCAACTTCAGGAGTTGGAGAGGCAGGAGAGAGAGATCAGTGCCACAGACAAGACCAGAGCTCAGGAGTGTCGACGGAAGATTGCGGCTGCTCAGAGCAAAGTTCAGGTGTGTCCGTCAGACAGTCTCTCGGCTGTGAAATCAATTTACAGACTCACATTATGTGTCAATATGAAATGACATACACTCAACAGCCACGTCATTAATTACTGCTGAACGAGAGCAAGAAAAGGGTACATCCTCTTTGACAATGAAGATTTTCAGTTAAAAAATAAAAAAAGGTGATAATTGTAATCTGAACTAGACTTTGAACTATATCAGCGGCGCTCATTATTAAATTTGTGTTTGTGTGCACACAAGTCTCATGTGCATTCAGTGGCATACATTTGTAAGAGCAGATTGTTCCTCTATGGGATGCCATTATTAGAAGTGCATTTGGAGCGAAAGAAATTTGTTGAATGTAAATGGCATTGTCAGTTTATTTGGTGAAAAGCATTTGAAAACGTCTCCAGTAATCGTAAATGTTGTTGATAAAGGTTCTCAGTCAACGTCACAGGGATACGGCCCATCTGGCTAATCTGCCGGCGCAAAGCGAGCGCCGGGTGCTAGAGCTGGAGCGCAGCGTTCAGTCAATGAGGCAACAACAAGAGCTCCTGCAGAAGCGACTGCGCCAGGAAAGTCAGCAGAAACGTCGCCTGGAAACTGAGATGCAGCGCAGAACTCACAGAGTCAAGGTTTTGTTTTGTTTTCTGGGAGTTGTTTTTTCATATTCAACAAAAAAAAAAATTAGCTGTTCAGATCGTCACACCTGTTCCCTATTAGGAACTTGAAATAAAGAATGAGCAACAGCAAAAGATTCTGAAGATCAAGACAGAAGAGATCGCCGCCTTCCAGAGGCAGAGACGCAGCGGCAGCAACGGTTCTGTCATCTCACTGGAGGAGCAACAGGTTGAGTCGCAGTTATCCTGCCAGAGTTAGCTTTAAACTTCCATTCTCTTCTGATGAAAGCTCACCGTTGCTGCAATCCCGTGTCTTGTGTGAGCAGAAAATAGAGGAGCAGAAACGATGGCTGGATGAGGAAATGGAGCGTGTACTGGACCAGAGACGAGGGCTTGAAGATCTGGAAGGCGAGCTCACGAAACGAGAGGAAATCCTGGCCAAGAAAGAAGCCCTGTTACAGGAGCGCAGTGGTCTGGAAACCAAGAGGCTCCGTTCCAGTCAGGTATTCAAACAGGAAATGAACACAGTTTTAACAGCGTGCTTCGTAAGGAAATAATAATACGTTTTCATTGGCTTCATCTGTTTATGCAGGCGCTGAGTAAGGATCTGGTGACTCTAACAGGACGCATCGAGACCCTTGAGCACGAGTTGAGCGAGCGGAACGGCTTACTTCGCAGCAGCAGTGCTCAGGACTCCCAACAGATTCGGCAAGAAATTTCCAACCTGCGTCAAGAGAAAGATTCTTTGCTGAAACAAAGAGTGGAACTGGATGATAAGTTGCGCCAGGGAAATCTACTCTCACCTGAGGTCAGACTCTGCAACACTAAACATTTTAGCATACATGTACAGTATGTGTGCATTTTCTCACATGACAAGCTTGAGGTGCACATTTAGGCACACTTGTATATTAAAAATGCTGTCGTAAAGTTCGTGGGACAGCATGCACCTCAATCTTTTCTCTTTGATTCAACCAGGAGGAGCGAACCCTCTTCCAGTTGGATGAGGCCATTGAAGCTCTGGATGCTGCCATCGAGTACAAGAACGAGGCCATCACCCAAAGGCAGAGGCAGCTCCGGGCCTCCGCCAGCATGCTGTCACAATGGGAGATGAATCTCATGGCCAAACTCAGCTATTTGTCTGCCTCCGAGACCAGAGCTCTCCTGTGCAAATACTTTGACAAGGTTTGTGGGGCTTTATTTTATCTCACGTGCAGGGTGTGGCATGATCGTGGTTTTTGAAACTCTCTTCAATGTTATTTACATTTTTATTTACACAAGGAAAAAAACTTTCTCTCAACGCTAGGGATGTGACTGCCGGTATCAGGGCTGATATTGAACAAAGTGCATCTGTATTGATCAAAATAAAATGCTGTGATACTAATAGCATATGAAACTTATTGCACAGCTTTTACGATACGCATATCATGATGGCAGTATTTTTCTTCAATGTTTTGTGCAGCCCTAATTAGCCCAAGGGTAAAAATAACGCCAATAATAACACTGAAATGATACTCATTGTGGTATTGTTGGCTTCAGCTTTACGTTTAGAAGGTATGTCATTTTGCACTTCATGTCAAACTTATCAATGATGATATTGTGTAGTGCCGGTAGGGCTGACACGATAATCGTGCGCAGGTGGTGTCACTGCGCGAGGAGGAGCGTAAGCTACAACTCGCGCTCGCCGAGCTGGAAATGCAGCTGGACGAACAGCAGCGGCTGGTACAGTGGCTGGAGAACGCTCTGGATCGCACGCAGCTCGACACCGACCGTCGGCTCACACAGCAGCAGAAGGAGCACGAGAGGAGCGTGCAGCTCTTACTACAGCAGTGTCGAGGTGTGCATCGCACATCGTAATTAACATTCATTTAATTTGTGTCGTGTTTAAGATGTTGAGATTATGTACGGTGTATAGAGAAGCTGAGTTTTAAAATAATTTTATTATACACCACCCGGATTTGATGTCACTGGATTGTACACAAGTATTCACATCATTCCCCATTTTAAATTGAAATGATTTTCAATATTCCAAAAATTCCCACAAACCAAATATTCCACACGTTTCACTTACATATAGCACTTTTTTAAACCACTATCAGTCAATATAATTCCACATTATTCCAATTTCATTTAGTATAACGCCACATGATTCCAGCATGCCAGAAGTCTCATGCAATTTCTCCAGAAATTATATTTTCAGGGTTTTTTTTTCTTACGAAGTTCCCTACCTAGCTGGTAGAATTTGCAAACCTGTCTGTGTCCACGCAGAGCAAATGGACGAGGGCCTGGCAGGAAGGCAGCGGCAGTACGAAGGATGGATCCTCGGCCTCAGCAAGGAGCTTAACCACTACAAAGCAGCAAATCTGGAACTGAGCAATAAACTGAGGGAATTGAGCGTCTCTGCCAGCCAGCCAAAGGAGCAGCTCAAAGGTACATTTCAAGTATCATTTTCACCCTTAGAAATAGGATCAGTCACAATCGACTTAAATTTTCACTGTCCTCTTGTTGTTGCTACGCTGTAGTGCTCCCATGTAACAGTAAAACACAAGCTGTCAGTAACGTGGAGAACCACGGGGGACGAGGAACACCAATGAGTGAAAAACCTCCAAAGTCTAGAGAGGAAATGCGGGAGCTTGTGAATGCCCCTCTTCCATCCATATGGAGGCGCTCTTCTCTCCCCACCGAGGAGCCCGCGGTGATGGAGGAGCTGTGGCTTCGAACGGCTTCGGACGGTCCCATGAACCGTGTTGTCCAAACCGGGCTGAACTCGTCCAGCGTTCCGACATTGCCGCCCGCTATGAAGTCTCGGAGGGAGTCCCGGCGGAGCAGCCTTCATGTTGGCCCGCTCAATTCAAACAATGTTTTCATAGACTTCAGGAAGAATCTTGCCTGAAAAACAGTGTTTTATTTTTTAATTGTAGAATACCTTTCATATTGTTTACTAAGGTTTCCAAAAGAATTGTTTGAAATTTTATGTTTTCATATTCATATTTCGTATTTAATTGTTTAATGGACTTATTTTTATACAAAGCACTTTGACTATGGTAGTTCCTGTGTTATTAAGATATATGAGGTATGGCCCTATAAAGTTGAATTGGCTGATGTCAGTCATTGGCATTAATCGAAAATTAGTGTTATTTTATGGTTGATGGAGGTGGCAAAAGAACTCACACTATGTACTTAAGTGGAAGTATAGGTACTTGTGTAAAAAAGACTGGTGAAAGTAGATGTGCTTAAGTAAAATGTCTTAACCACAGTTGACTGTACCTGTTTGCTTAAATATTTTTTTACATCTGTAGGGGTTAAAAGAAAAAGTAATAATTTTGCCAAAGTAAGTACCGTATATTTTCCAAATCAACAGTAAAAAGGCATCCCAAAAAGAAATACTGAAAAATACAGTAGCCTTAATATTTTTTTTTTACATTATACAGTATTGTCATCCACGGAGGTTGAAAAAAGTAACAAGCCTAGTTTGACAAAGTATGTAGTAGATACAGTATGTGTTTTCAAATGTAGGGAGTAAAAGTAAAAAATCATTATCAGAATCAATATAACAGTAAAGTATAAATGCATTAAAATGTTTGACATACTGTAAGTATGGTAATGAAGTACTGTACTGTATTTGAAATGTGTCACTTCTCACCACTGGTTGAAAGTCTACTACATGAAAATATTTCATCTGCTCAAATAAAATTGCCCTTTACATTAAAGTACATAGTTTACCATTTTACCGGCCATTTTATTTTGTATTTATGGCCTTAAAGATTTTTTTCATACATATATGGCACGTTCCTTCTTACGTCCAAATTTATGTTACTCACGAAACTGCCGTAAATCGAGTAGTACCTGTCCATTTGAGATTCCTTTGATAGTGGCAATACAATGATCTGAACAAGAGAGGGCAGTGTAACCTCAGCGCATGGAGGCTGCAACCAAGGGCAGGGGCGCGTGATTTCATGTTGCCACAGCATTGAATCAGGGCAAAATGTGGAAAATATACTGCCGTATTTAGTATATGTTGTAGTCATTCATTAAATGCTGGGGGTTTTTTCCCAGTAGTGGTTTTCTTCTGTGGAAATCAAATCAGATCTCATGTTGGCACACTTTCAATTAATTCAAGAAACATGACGCCTGAAAGTACTTCAATGTCATGTTTTGTCATTAATGTGCAAATAACCTAGTCCAAAAATGTTAAGTGCATTTAATTGTTTATCTATGTGCAAACTTTGCATTGAAGTAATATTTGTAGGTGAGGTGCAAAAGCCTTTTGCACCTCACCTCCTCCGAGATGCCTTTTAAAGGCATCTAAAGGAGGACTGAAGTGGCCAAACTCCAGAGTCATATGACTCTCCGGTACTGTAGATGGATCAGTGATTCCTTTGCCGTGTCTCACACAGCAGCGAAGGTCTGCAAGCTTTTGCGCACGTGGTAAATTGTTTTTTCGTCAGGGTTCGTTCAAGGTCGCAAAGACGTTCGCTAACAATTGCAATGGTCTGAAACAGTTTTTCTTGTCATAACGAAATTTTGAAGTTCAAAATTCGAATGTGACAAGAAAAACTGCCATGCATGCATTAAAACTGTTTTGGAATGTCTGGCAAATGTCTTTGCAACTGTGCAACACTGAACGAATGCAAAAAAATGAATAAATTGACGAGGTGCACACAATGGCAAACCTTCGCTGCTCAGTGAGATACGGGCTTCATTTTCGAAAGAAGTGAGAACTACATAATTGAATACCCTAACTATTCATATTAAAACTGAACTGCTAGGGCAGGGGTCCCCAACCTTTTTTGCCCCACGGACCGGTTTAAGTCAGACAATATTTTCAGGGACCGGCATTTAAGGTGTGGCGGATTAATACAACAAAATAATATGGTATGAGCTGCATGAAAACTGTGGTGTTTTCGAAATATAATAATAAACACAAGGAGCGTCTAATCTGGTCGCAACACTCTTATCGCTCTGGTAATGTTTAATGCCTTCAAAATACGATACAACGCAAATTCAAAGTGCATGAAAATGACGACTCACCACAGCCCCGAGCTTGATTTTCTGCAATCAGACAGTCCCATCTCGGAGTAATAGGAGACAATGACACCTCAAGTGTGTGGTTTATGTCCAGTCTACTTCGTAATTTTGTTTTTAGTCGC